TTTACTATTTAAACTTATATTAAAATGATAAACTGCCCTGATCACTGTCTCAATCATTAAATTCACAAAAAATCTATTGATAATAATTTTACTAATGATCCACACATAGTTTTGATTTACATAGGCCGCAGAACACCCTATGGTATCACCAACGGTAATGTCCAACCCACTATAAACTATAAGATGACTGTTGCTCCAAAGTAGCAACAGGTAAGACAATCTTGCTGCTACCAATGCATGGGCTGGACTAGGCATTTCGTATATGATTACTTCTCCTCTAACTAAACAGACATAGAGGTTAAACCTTTTCAGTTCCCCTTCCCCACGAAACTTTCGGTATCTTTCAAGCGATACGTCACTAAAAATTACAATTTTGCTTGACTCTTCTGCTTTCGTTGTATTCTCTTCTGTTGTACTCTCTTCTGTTGTTCTCTCCTTCCTATTAAATTCGATTAGTCTGTTCCATGCTAATTTCAAATTTTCTTCTATGTTGCTTATTGGCATTGCGAGAAAGATTTTTTTCGATCAATGATTACTGATGTACAGTGCGGACAACCTAGTCACAGCAAATAAAATTTTTAGCGGCCTAATTCAGATTTTATTTTTTATATATATAAAGAGGCCAATTTAAAAATTTAGCTAATATTTATATATAAAGTGGCCAAATTTTAAAATTTTAATATATATGAAATTAAATTAATTGTTTAACAAGGCCAAATTAAATAGATTTAAAAAAAATTTAAAAACTTGAAGTGTTTAGCTTGTTTTGATTTAACATTTTAAGATAGTATTTTTTGTTTGCTATTTTTTTCGAAGAAGGATTAGCAATTTGAATTTCATCAATTTTATTTGTCGTGACTAGGTTGTCTGCATTGTAGCTTTATATCGATAATCACGTAGATTTACAAAATAATGACTTCATATCTCGTGCCAGTCTCGTGCCAAATTATAAAATAATTTTTGCAGTTCTGGCTATAAATAATTTTTCGAGGGTTGCTAGTCTTATACTGTATATAGTTGATGGTAGTTTACATTATTCTTCCCGAAAAATTCCGAAAAGAATTTCAACGAACATAATATACGAGACATTATTCTATGGTGCAAGCGGCTTTAAATCTCCATAAAAATTGGCTTTACAGAAAATGCTACTCCTCTTTTAAAAATTTATAA